TTTATGTAAATTTTGGTAGTAAAAAAAAAACAACTAATTAATATTAATCTCTTCTCGAATAAAATGCGTCTCTTTATTGTTAATTACTTCGGAATGTGAAATATGTCGTTTGATAAAATCCCGCAAATTAATACGGTATGCAGCGACGTTAACGTTAATTTACAAAAAAAATGTCTTCTGCCACGCGTAAAACGTGATTAATATAACCATGATGTCAGAGCTTTCGAATATTGATAACCAAATTAAGCAAACGCGATGATAATGGAGTTTTCGCAATCACTGAAGATGTTTGCGACGTGTGTGTTTTAAAATGTTCTTTTAATAGTCTCGAGAGAGAGAGAGAGAGAGAGAGTGGGAAGGATATCGTTAAGCAACACTAGAATGTATAGAAAAACACACTTATGTGCGCGTCTTTGCGTGTATAATTAACTTCAAAAACTTTGAGAATTTTTGTTTATTTTCCGCTTCTCTCAATTATTCCGCTAAGTTTTCTGATAATTATTGAATCTCTTCTCTTAAGTTCTGGCAGATATAAATTTGTGTTTTTTGATTTTTCTCCGCGACATCAAAATATCAGACGAAGTAGCTTTGCGAAGATGCAATCGTGACCAGCAGCTCGGTGTAGCGACCGCTTTTGAAGCTGCGTTTAACATTCGACGAAAGATCTCGCCTCGGGCGATGATCGACGTCGCGAAAGGTCAACCGCTGACCGTCCTCCTCGTTTCTTATTTCAGGCCTCACGTTGTTTCGTTGTTTTTCTCTCTCGCCACAAGTGTGGAGGAAACTTCTTTAACCACCGGACTCCTTTCACGCGCATTTCGTCCTCCTCGCGAACATGCAAATAAAGCCGCTGAATTGGACGAAGGTCGAATTATATCCATCGCGAAACAACCTGCGAAGGTCGGCCACTCCACCGGCGTTAAAATCCGCGCATCTCGCGCCGTGTCTCGCATCTCGGTCGAGCGAAGTGCAAGCGTGCTTTCACTTCGGAAGCTATTGTAGGATACGACGAATAATCCCCCACAGTGAAACATACAGCAACAGGTTTCACATTTAGAAAATGATTTGTGCGCTTCTCGAACACGACGGGAATTTTTCCCGGCAGATATCGACGTGGTGACGCGCTACTGTTCGACGCGACGGTATGGAAACCAAAGAATGTACGCGTCAGAATAACACAAAATGGTGTATATTGTTATACAACAGAGCTGAGGCACAGTGTGAACTCAGTCTGCGTGTCATAGACACAAAAATTGTTTATTGTTATTATACAACAAACCTTCTTTCTTCCGTTAGAACGCGAAGATTCGTCGCGCGACTCGTCGCATCTTTGATTTTCCGTCCGGCGAGTCGTCGAGATTTCGTGGCTTCCCGAGCGCAAATTGCGCGCGTTCGTTCGGCGAGCCGCGCGACGAGAGAATCCGTTACACACACCCGATCGACCTCCTCGATCGATTTTGCAATCGAATTGCCACACGCGCTCGCGCTCCTTCTTTGCGAGCGACTTCGAAACGGAGCGCGGCGCGCTAAGTACAGTCAAGAGGGTACAACCCGAGTCGAGAGTTCACCTCCGCCTTCCATTCCGCGGGAGGAAGCCGACGGTCGGCTTCCCAGGTATTCGATACGTACGCGAGCGTAGAGATAGATAGATAGATCGCGCGCCCTCGAATGATCTCTCTTCCATGCGGAGCGGCGCGCCCCGCTCTCGCGCCTCGAGAGATACATTCGATCGCGCGTAAATCCTGTGAAAAGTTGCACCGCCGTGTTAATCCACACTCGCTCTCGAAGAGAACGAGGAGTAAAAGAGGTTTGAGATTTCCATCTCGATATTTATGATTTTATTAATTCGTTATTGTTGTTTATTTATTGTTTCTTTTTTTTTTTAGATTCGATGTATTTGCGAGTAGAACGGATAAGTGGATTTTTGAGAGGATATTGTGAAAGTTTATATTTTTACACTTCGTTATATTTCTTTTCTTTTTTTTTATTTGTAAGAAATTATTCCACTTTGCGCGAAGTGGGATAGGTAAGTGGGTAAAAGTTTCGAATGTGTGCGTGCGAGTCGCACTCTCTCGGTTTTTGTCGTGAGAAAAATTTGTTTTAGAAAAAAAAAAAAAAAAAAAAAAAAAAACAGAGATGCGTGCGCGTGCGTTATTAATATTTATATTTTGTACGAGCGCGACTGCGAAAGAAACAGAAAAAAAAAACGCGACTACCACTTTAAACTGCGTCAAAGTAAATGTGAAAGAAATATCCGGACAAATCAGATCCTACTTTCACTATTTTAAATTTGTGATTGGAGATTAATTCAAATGACCGGTAACGCCACTTCTCTGTATGTAATATGTACTTGTATAATACTTGACAGAGATATCACGAGAGTCGCCGTGTAACAGTAACGAAACTCGTGTAATAGCAACTTGCGCGCTAGTCGTGATCTAAAAAATTCCTACAAGCGCGGCATAGCTAAATCCTGTGCGTCTAATTTATGTACTTAAAATTGCGTAGATAAAATTGCGAATTAATTAACATTAATATATATTTGTTATGTAATATTCTATTTCGCGCTTCTGTTCAACCTACTTGTCGCAACTTCATTTTCAACACTTCTCGATTCTCCTTATTTAGAAGTTCGCGGTTTTATTATTTTCCTCTTTTGCAGAGATCTTATTTAATCCGCCGCGACAATCTTCTTTCAAATAAAGCCACAAGACGCGAATAATCTTCAAAAAATTATTACCGGTGTGGGGCAAAATTAATGTTTGAACATCAAAATCAACAATGTTAAACAATATTTTTATTACTCAAAAAATAAAGTAACAAATTTTTATAAAGATTAGTTTTGTTTTTTTGCACTTTTATTTAACATTCGAAGGGATCTTTTCGCAGTGGATCTTCGGTGGAAAATCACATGCGAGCAACGCGCATTGTATTTTCTTCATTAAGTAAAAAACACAAGTTAAGCCAGTCCCAAATACATCAAATATCATCTGAAATAACTTTATAATGATATAAAAAAACGAAAGATCGCTCTTTTTTCGACAATTTTCCTTCTTTCTCACTGTCGCGCTCATTGAAGCCGCCGCCGCCGTCGCCGACTCGTTGAAAGCGTGACTAGCGAGATTCAAACGAAACAAAAAGAAAAAAAAAAAGAGCGAGCTGCTCCTACGCCTACGGGACGTGCCCATAAATTTGCACTTCTCGGTTCAAGGCTTTTTTCCACGATTGGTGACGGTCGCTCACGTGGTATAATCGCGTTTTGATACCGCGGGGCGAATATGCAAGTCAAATGATTTTTCTCTCGCCTCTCTGTTACTCAACGCTCACACGGTGCTCACACACAGATCTTTCCCTCTGGAATTCGATCTCCGACGCGCAACTTTTACCTCACCCACCTCATCGAGTCACGCCAAAACGGATTGCGTTGCGTGCGCGCGATCCGTAATGTATCGTGTGTATATACGGAGCGCTTACGTGCGCGCGGAATCATGTCACGAGCGAACACAACCGCGCGACCGCAATCAGCTGCCGATTTTCTTATTAAATATGTATCGATGCAATCTCCAATCGGGTATGTATCTCGCGTAGAGCGTACACGTGCGTGTATAACGCATATACACTCGGCGGCGACAGAGCGAGAGAGAGAGAGAGAGACAACAAAATTGCTAACCGTACGGAAATGCGTGTAATTACGACGACGACGGGTGAAACGGCGGCGGCCTTTTCGCGCTCTCTTCGCGTGGAAAAAAAAAAAAAAAAAAAAGACTCTCCGCCGCGTTTCCAAATAAACATCATTCTTCGGACCGCGAAATTATTCACCACGGGTGGATTCTCAGGTGGGCAGGCTTCGCGGTAAACCGTGTTTGATACGGAGATAACATACATCTCTCGCGCTCAAGGAAAGTCCTCACTTCCCGCCCAGGCGCAGTCCTTGTCTTACTTTTCCGAGAGAGAGATACCGCGTCTCGGCCGCTCGTATATCGCGTAAGTTTTAATGCGAATTCTCTTCTAGCAAATAAACGTCGATGCACGCACACGTCTATTGAGACACATTCAGTGTAGATACAGAAATGTGAGATTAAAATTTAATTTCTTCCCTTCTCTTGAGAAAAACTAAAAAAAAAAAAAAAAACACATCACGCAACTGATTTAGTTGCGTGCGCGTTCGCAAGTTTGATGATATTTTTACGACAAAATTATGAAACAAAAAATACATACGAACAGAAGGAATAATTGCATTAAGAAAGACCGACCGGTGCGCGTTCTCGTGATTGCGATAGTATGTATGCACATACATGAGAGAGAAGATTGCGTTCTTCTTTTTCTATGATTGTACGAACTTTATGCCAAACGAGAGCGCACACGTTACCGCCACCTTCGCCGATGTTACGGTTTGATGAGAAGTAGCGGTTATTAGGAGGCAGTCGGATAATGATTTATCACTGTGAGAGTGAAATTACACTCTCCCCAAGTCCACTTCTTGATCCAATCACCCAGTGACTCAGTTCCAGTTTCAATCAGAAAGTTATTCCAAGAGAGACGCGCGAGTATTATCGTTTTTTTTTTTTTTTGTAGAGAATAAACTCCGTGAATGACATTTCAAGCATTAATATACAAAATTATTCAAATTCTGATAATTAAAGTAAAATCGAAATGTTTTAATTAAGTCTTAATTGTTTAAAATCAAAATGTTTCCAGTTTTTTTTGTTTTACACCAGAATCTTCGGTATCCGAAATATAAATTTTGAAAAATGAGGAGATAAATAATGTCTTCGGGTAAATAAATTTTTAACGTCGAAAGAATTGACTTTCGCGTAACAAGTCTTGATATATTCTCCAATTCGATATAAATCCACTACGTTCTTAACGGTGTCATTCAACGCCTGCGTTGTTTAAAAAAAAATGCTTTACGTTTCCGCTGATTCCGCGGATGTTCCGCGACGTTAGACCGCGACGAGTCGGAAGAAATCGACTCGAAAGAGAGTGAAATTGTCTCTTACCCAGTCCATGTTCATCGCTTGGTCTAATCCTCCTAAGTGACTTTAGTCTCGATCTTCTCGGTCAGAAGTTGTCCTCAACTCGCACACATCGCGCGTCAAGTGCATCCGCTTGCGATGCACGGCGACTCCCGCGGTGGACGAAAAGTCGTGGCGCACACACGCGACCTTGTACCTGCACGATGACACTGAAGGACGAACGCCCGACGGAGATCGGCGACGTAATCGTATATGCGAGACACTTGCAAGAACGAAACTGCGCGAGTACCCGTTCCCCAGGACGAAGAACGTACGACTGGTCTGGCGATCGCGCGCGACTCTCGTTCTAAGCTAAAGGTAGACGAGCGTTACTGTTACTTTCTGTGGGTTCGTCTCCCATACCCGCCAGTAGCTTTGCGGGATATGCCAGCCGGTATGGGGCCCCACCAACCGGAACCGCGGGGCTACGTTTTCCAGTCCTTCGACAGACACGGGGGCCGGGCCCGTGTAAAATCCCTGGCACGACGCGGAGGTGAAAGGAAGATATTTCGCCGCCCGTCTTCCCTGGCGCCGGTCTCTTGTGTTTACCGCGCGCGCAAAGCCGCACTTTATGTAGGTACGAGTGCGTGCCGTCAACTGACAAGTACATCGTTGCGACTGTTGTTTTTATTTATTTGTTTTTTCTTGAGATCTGATAGATTTTCTGTCGCATGTAATAATAATATTCGAGAGAGATGTATAAGAGAATTAAAAACTACCCAGCCAATGCTAAATCGAGTTGATCCAGTGTAGAAATAAATCGTTTCTGAAATGTATGGAGCGCGCGCACACATCGTGTTTATGTTGATATTTATTTTCTTTAATTTTTTATGAGGGTATTACAAAACATATATACGTTATATTTTGTTCACCGTATAACATATGTACATGTTTTAGATTAGTATGTACATGGTATCGTAGTATTTAATAATGAAAAAGAGAGATATATATTTCAAATGTGTATTTTGAAATCGCGCGCGATCATTAGAAATTGACCTTCAAAAAAAGGAAAAGAGTTGCTTTTTTGAACGTGACGCGAAGGTCACGTAATCGAAATTCTGTCTGGAACTTCTCCGACAAGCAACTTGAACCTCTGCCAGAGAGAAAAGAAATGAAAATCGAAACGTGCGTGGAGTATATACTGATTCCAATAATTATTCGATACCACGGGTTATATACACGGCATTCAGTTATCTATCGCGCGATCGAAATTCGGTCATTAAATTGCAAGAGTTTTAACATGACATTCCTTCCGCATGACAATTCCAGTACTTGAAGTCTGACTCAAGTCGACTTCGCTTCGAAACCGCCTTCGGCATCTATCGTAGACTTCTTAAATTTCTTCGGTGCAGATCCTAAAAAAAAAAAAAATAAAAAAAATTCAAACGTACGTCTTGCCAATTAACAAGACACGACTTGTTGCATTTGTGTAATAAGATTTTAACGAACATTAGAAATTACCTTGATAGAATTTTGTCGCTGTACGCTTTCTGATTTCCTCGATGTCCTCTTCCGCCTGTGCCCATTCGAGCACTAATCTTCGACCGTACAAGTGAGTGCTTTGGGACAGCGCATTGAACGCTTTCTGCGAAATTAGGATCAAGCAAAATTTGTGAAAAGTCTGTTTCTATATACTTTTTTTTAAGTCTATTTTAAATTATTAGGTGTTTTAGGTGTAGAGATTAGATAATCCACGAATTAAAATGTAAATGTCACATACTTTTGCGTCCGCTCTTGTGTAATACTCGACGAAAGCAAATCCCCTGTGCTTCTCAACGCCGACCAATTTCTTCGGTAATCGCACGGCCTTCAATTCGCCATAAGATCTGCGCAAAAATTACAGCGAAGTTATATCTCGCGAAGATATTTCCTTCTCCCTTTCAAATAATTCACATATAAATTTGTTTTCAACATATACATACTTAAATAATTCCGTTAGTTCTTTATGAGTCGCCTGGAAGGGTACGTTTCGCACTAGGATTTTAGCACTGGTTTGTTCCGTAATGTTAGCCTTCTTCTTCGTTGTCTTAACATCGGATCTACAAAGTTTTACAATATTTATTCTCTAGATTCTCTACTTGTTTTCACAATACGAAAAAAATATGACGCGCACATCAACGTTCTCTCGGATCGCTTCAGCTCCAAACTCTTTCCATTCAGCACCGACATTTGCAACGTTTTCAACGCGTGGTCCGCGTCGTGTTTTCTCTTGAATCTCACGAATCCGTATCCCATGGACAATCTTTTACCCGGATTTTCCGGATCCAATTTAGTGGTTATTGTAACGTAATCAATAGGACCACATTTGCCAAAATACTAAAAAGCGTAAAGACGTGTTTCTTATTTATGCACGAAAACAGCACAGATGTTCTCTTACACACTAGATACGCACAACAGGTCTTAATTACTCACATCTTTCAACTCTTCTTCCGTAGTTGCGAAGTTGATATTCTTTACGAAAAGCGTAGTGTCCGGTTCAGACGGCTCTTCATTTTTATTTTTACGCGCATTCTCGTTATTTATTTTCTCGTTTTTATTTTCTTTCGTCGATTCCTCCATCGTTACTTCTTTCGTCTTTGCTGATTTCTCCGCGGACGTTTTTTTTTTAACTCTATCGGTCTTGGGCGCGGACGTGGTGAAACTGTTGTCCGGCGCCCACTCCAGATACAACGGCAGATGTTTAAATTTCTTGTAAGCTAACGAGTGAAAAGCCTTGCGTGCCTCGGACGGCTCCAGAAATTCGACCAGTGCGGTTATGCCAGCCGGCGGTATCACAATACGCGCTAAATCTCCGTACTTGGCAAACATTTCTCGAATCTCTCGCGGTTTCGTTTCGCTCGGCAAATTCTTCACCAAGATTATCGTGGTCGATCTTTTCTTCGGCGCTTGATTGAAAGCGTCCAGACACACGCCGTTTTCCTCCAAAAAGTTTTTCGTATCGTGAATCAACTGCGTTTCTCCGAGCGCGAGTTTCACCGCGGCGCTCATCCCGTTTGATTCACGATCAACCAGCAAGTTCTCCTTCGTCGTGTTGTAACGACTCGCGATGGCATCCGCCACGGCGTTCAAACCGAGAAACAATGTGTTCCAATTGTGCGACGAACCCGCGGTCGCTTTCTGCTGAAGTTCCTTCTTTTGCTTGTAAGTCAGATTTTCCGTGTCGATGTTCTCCGGAGAATCTTTCGCCTTTCCGGGAAGAATGTGTAACATTCTACCGTTCAGCGCGGAACCGTCCAGTTCGGCGTAAGCTCTCGTAGCGTGTTCCGGCATCAGAAACGTCACGGTGCCGAAACCTTTTGGTTTCCTAGTCACTCTGTCCACGGGTAAATTTACCTCGGTTAGAGGCCCGTACTTCTCAAATAGTTTTCTCACGTCGTCCTCCGTAGTGGTGTACGTCAGATTTCGAATAAATATTCTCCCAGATTCCGCTATACTCTCTTCGTTCTTCATAGCCTCTTCTTGCTTCTTCCATTTGACATTAGTCACATTGTTTGGATCGTCAGATTTGTCAGTTGTCTCTTTTTGCGCGTATTTGTATACAAATATCTGCTTGCCATCTGCGTACATAAAAAAAAAAAAAATAATGATTAAAGGTACTGCTGATTGCACACATATTGTTATTCAACAAGTTATTTACCTAGAAAACTCTTATTTTTCATAAGAGCCTTTCTCATAGCTTGCTCCGTTTTGAATCCCACATAGGCTATACCCTTTATCTTGGGTGGAATTCGTATAGACGCGGCTTTTATAGGGCGAAAGAATTGTTTAATGTGTTTTTTCACATGTTTGTATCCAAGTCCGCGCACTATTACAGTAAATAACTGTTTGTGCTTGGGAGTCTTGGTAGAAGTCTTCGACTTTTCTTCGTTCTTCACATTCTGTTCCTTTTTTTTCAATGCTTCCATGTACTAAAAACAATTTAAATAAAATCTCGATAAATAATAACATTTTTCAGTCTTGTGTTTAAAAATTACACTTATTTCAAGGTACCTCTAAATCCGATATGACTTTATCTGCAATTTTTTTCTTTGATTTGCTTTTACTTTCTTCTTCTTCTTCTTCTTCTTCTTTTTCTTCTTCTTCTTCCTCGCTTTCCTTCAATTTATCAGTCTCATTCTCAGGACCAGGTATATCTATATCATTCTTCCAAATTGACTTTTTATTTTTGCTGGTGTGCGATTCAAGAAATTCCATGAATAAAGGAGCATCTTTGTGCTAAGTCCAAATCGTGTAAAAAACAAATTGATAAGTAATGTAATTTTTTTATTTAGTTTCTAGCTACAAAATCAGAAAAAAGTTTTGTATACCTTTTCAAGCGCTTCCTTGACTTTGTCAGTCTTCTTATCCTCAGTCTTTTTCTTTTTTTTCTTTTTTTTCTCTTTGTCATTTTTAGTTTCTTGAACATCATTTTGTTCCGCAGAATCCTTCTGTGATTCAGAGCTTTTGCCAGATTTATTACGAGAACTGTCGCTTGCATACTTGCTCCATGATTTTGGCTTTGAGGGATCTCCTAAAATATACATTTCATCACATGTATTTAAAAAAAATATTCATTTATGAATTTATATGTTTGTCTACAAGTGTACAAACTGTACCTAAATTTGCACATTGGTCAACAGTTATCTTACAAGTATCAATGAACGTTTGATCAAAATAGGACTGTGCCAATTTTGCTTGTTCCTCCGTCTTATATCCTACAAACCCAAATCGTCGAAATATTCCATCCTTTGTGTATTTCAACTGAACGTCAGTGACAAGACCCTTTTGACTGAATAACTCCTTCAGTTTAGCGTCTGTTATCTGTATGTTAAATAAAAAATATAAATATTACTAATTAAACAAAATCAAATATTACATACAAGATAAAGAAAAATTATTACGTACATTTTTTGGCAAATTTTTCACTATTAAACGTGACATCTTCTGTTTCACAAAAATCAACAGTTCAATTTAAAAACTTATACACTACGAACACATGGCCACACACGAAAAAGGTTAGGTTAGGATTATGTTCGCTTCTTCGGTAACGATCTCATCAAGCACTCGACAACGAAGTTTCGAAGAGCGCTGCGTTACTTGCGATTGGCTCGACCGGAGTCGCGCAAGTCGTTCCCCAGAGAGCGGTAGCAAAGAGAGAACTTGACAACGAATTCGATTGGATGCACTAGTGCGCACCGAGTGCATCCAATCGAATTCGTCGTGAGATCGGCCACGGCCAGTGGCCGGACATCACCAACACGTTCGGAGGATTACCGCACTCCGCTTGGAGTTTCCACGTGCGTTCGAACACGGCGGCTTGCTGTCACCCGGATATGAACCCTAATCGATCCAAACCTAAATGAATTTAAATAACTAATGAATTTAACCTGTCCAGGATGCGAACTGAATAGGATCGTACGCTGTGGACGTAACGCGGAATAGAATCACGTCCACGTTTGTACGTAGCGCACGCACCGACAAGTCGTTCGCGGACATTGCTGTAGTTGTCCAACGTGCGCCATCCGTGGACATAGAGCTGACGTATAGGGCGGAGAAAAGCTATTACAGTTTTTCATATGGCTCTTGCTGACCGCTCTCACTTTTCTCTGGCGGGAGAAAAAGTTGAGTCAAGAGAAACAGAATCCTGGTCCTGTAGTTGAGTCAACTGAGACTTACCCGTTGTAATCCGATACCGGCTTAAGGTTACGACCTTGCGTTTCCCATCTGAGTTTGTTAGCCCTGCGCGCGTCGAGCAGTAGCGCGAGCCCACTGTCGCGAGCGTCGACGGTAGTTTTGTCTATAGTTAGTCCCCTTGTGTGTGCACTCGTCTCTCCTCGCGATTGCACGCGATTGTTTATAACTGATTTGTGGGTTCCCAGTACTCGGTGCGATTTCGCCGACGATGAGCGCCGAGGAGGAAGTGTTGCGCATACAGAAGAAGCTCAACAAGATGTCGAGCGGTGACGGGACGGTGAGTAAGTGAGTAAAATAAAAAGCTCGCAGTGTATAAATTTGCTATCTGTGGCACGCGTGGAAAAACCGCGGAGTCTTCGCGAAGGAAGAAGAGAAGACGCCGCGATTTTTTTTTTCACAACTTCGAGAGCATCCGTTGTCTGCCGCGTTGTCAAACGCGGTCGCAAATTTGTGCCCGCGAATGCAATCGCGCGAGCCGACGCGCGCGCGATATGTTTATATACTTGCCGTATTGGAACGAGGTGTATCGGTAGCAAGTTTCGGCGCAAGTAGCTTGACCCAGTTATAACTGTGTGCGTGTTTACTGTGTTAGAAAACAACGAAAAAAAATCGAACGATCGAAAATTTTATTTTCAAAAGATCTCGAACTCTTTTTTCAATCTGCTGAAACACTTGATATATCTTCAGGTTTCGCATCATTTCTATGTTCTTATTTCGTTGTTTGATTTTCGTTGCCGCGAACTCGATTTCGGCAAGAGAGTATTTTGTCGCGGCACGAATTCTTTAATTCTGGCGCACTGGGACGAATCCGTATCGAAGCCCAGTGAGTTTATCAAAAAAAATAAACGATAGTTTTTCTCACAATTAGACTGAGTTATTATTCTCTGATAGAAATTATTTCGCGCAGTTAGAATACTTTGCCATTGTTACAAAACCCAAAAATATTTGTAACAAAAATCGATTTAAAAAATTCATAAATTGTTTTTTAATGAGAATATGTGAAAAACATTTGAAGTTGTACTAATTGTACGATAAAAATTCACTCATTACACACAATCAAATCATTGTTCATGTGATCTACTATTTTTTGTTAATCAGGGCCAGGAACAGGCTTTGGATTTGCTCAAAGTACTTCAGAAATTACCTGTTGATTTGGAACTCTTGACGAAGACGCGAATCGGAATGACCGTAAACGCATTGAGAAAGTCAAGCAGAGACGAGGAAGTTATTTCTTTGTCAAAAACTCTCATCAAGAACTGGAAGAAATTTTTACCAGGTACGTAATATTGAATAAGTGTGTGTTAGATTAATTTTTTGACATAGATGTTACAACAAATGTAATAATTATGTGAATATGATCTGCCAAAGAAAAAGATTCTGTATCATCGAGTACTTCGAAGAAAAAGGACGAGAAATTGGACAAGGGAAAGGAAGATAACGATCAGAAGAAAGATACAACAGACGCTTCCGAAACCAAGAAGGAAGAGAAGTCCAAAGATGTTCATAGAAAACAGTCATCGTTTCCCGCTCCTACCACCACAGATGCGGTCAGATTAAAATGCAGAGAATTGCTAGCGGCAGCTTTACGCGTAGACGGGAAAGTCATCGATAGCTGCGCAAGTCCAGAAGAGCTAGCGGAAGAACTGGAAGAAGCAATTTATGCGGAATTCAAAAATACTGATAACAGATACAAAAATAGGGTAATTACAATTTATCACATCATTTTTGATGAAAAGCTGAATTTTAATGCAAGAGATATGTCTGTGTCAAAACTTACATACACATCTTTGTTATATTTTTGTGAATTTTTCTTTTTTATTCCAGGTGCGAAGCAGAGTTGCCAATTTGCGTGATGTAAAGAATCCCAATCTACGAACCAACTTTCTGGTAGGCGCGATTACACCTGCCCGACTGGCCGTGATGACGGCCGAAGAAATGGCGAGCGACGAGATAAAGCAGCTACGCGAGCAATTTAAAAAAGAGGCTATCAACGACGCGCAACTCGCCACTGTGCAAGGAACGAAAACTGATTTGCTCAAGTGCGGCAAATGCAAGAAGCGCAATTGCACGTACAATCAGGTGCAGACGCGTTCGGCCGACGAACCGATGACTACCTTTGTGTTGTGTAACGAGTGCGGAAACAGATGGAAGTTTTGCTAAAGTTTCCCTCGCCAGATTTTCAACTATCATATTTTTTGATCTACGGTTTATCATATATTGCGTCGAAATTATATAGACATAACACATGTATAAATTAAGTAATATGAGGCACGGAAACCTAAAGCGTATGAACGTTCTAATAGAAAAGTTAGAAACGTGGATTGGGGGAACGTTTTCATCGTTTTCTCTCCTATACTCACTCAGCAAAGTATTGTTGGCGTAAGAGAGACGCTCAGTCTATACACACGTATATTGTATTTGTGTCCGTGGAAATGTATGTCAGTTACTTGTCTAGAATTTAATACGGGATGAGTTAACTGAAGAACTATAAATAAAATGTGGTTTGTTTGACTATTATATATATATACGTATGTGTATATATATATATATATATATATATATATATATGCTTCAAAACAAACTGTCTTCAATTAATTCTACAATCTGTACACACACTTCGAACATCGCTAGCTTCTTTATACAAAAAAAAAGTTTATCTATTACAGTGAAAAAAAATTATATATATAAATTACCACTATATACATATATATAAAACAATTTTAATGTTAGAAGGCCTCTGCGACACTACTTTTATCTCACAACAATTTTGTGAAACATTAAACTGTAAAATTTTCCTTTCGCAAACATAGTTTAGAAGTTACAGAATGTACATTAACGTAATCGCGAACGTAATAAGATTTTCCTGAAGAATACACGTCTTTAAATACACACACACACACACACAAACGTATGTATATATATTGAAATCTATTTACTGGTTTTGGACTTCGTGAAAGTTCAGAAAGGAAAAATAGAAATTTATATAGTATCTATATGTATAATTATAAAAAAAAAAAATACGTAAAACACACGCCCTTTTAATCAACGTCTTTTTATTCTATACTCCTGGTTTATCGCGAGTCTTTATTCTGCCATTACATAACCGTTACATTCAAATTTTTATTTACGTGCGTATAAATGATGTAAGTAGTTTTTATCGCTTTATGGAGAATTCAGACAGTCATAAAAGCTACGAATTATGTTAAAAATTCTGAAATATATAGATGCGTATACAAAACGTAGGACGTCTTGTTGCAAATTTTATTTAAATTACCTCATTATTATTCTCTTCTGCGATTACAAAAGCTATGCTTTATAACGTAATTAATCGTTTTTAACGACGTTTTTTATTGTTTGTACGACGCGAAGATATCCCACCAAGGCTTCGGGTTAAAAAAAAAAAAAAACCTACAGCGCTTAACACAATGACTATACTTTTTATTTAAAATTACTTTACGAGGTACATTTATATACATAAAAAATTTGACTGTAACATTAAGCTTATGCAATATAGACAATATATTCGTGCATGTGTAATAACATAACAGTAGAGCTTCGTTAAAATTCACTTGTTTTTTTCTTTTTTTTTTTCTATACCTGTCGTTCGAACAAGAACTTATACGCTCATTTACACCTAAGCGATTAACTTATCAACTTATTACCATGGGTCGTGATATCGGAATGTTATAAGTTTCGTTTTCTCCCTTCTGTTCTAATTAAAAACTACGCGCGAAACACGTCGATTCTATCCAAGCAACCAATAAAAAAGTAGAAGATTAAGGATCCAATGTGTATAATTATAACTATATATGTATATAATATATTTATAATATATTTATAATATATAATTTATTTATAACATTATTATATCATAATATATTATTATTATATAATATATTATAATATATATTTGTGTAATATAATATAAATTGTTTAGCCTCGCATTTAGAGATGAAACATGACAACCTAAGTTTGTTCTCTTCTATATGAGATCATGTAGATAATTTCGAAAACTCATCAGATTATTATAACATATGCACATATATGTGTGTGATAATATATAATATATGTATAAGTTATATTAATATTAAATACGTAAAATTCCAAATGATATTTAGAAGGATTATTCACAAAGTTTTCATGTTCTATACTTAGGACTGACTATATGTGGTTGTTCTTTTATGCGATATGTAAAACTTTTTCGTACAAAAATTACATTTATAGAATTTTTATGACGAAATTAAACGCGACGAAGATCCGTGTCTTTTACATGTTTCAGTTGCTTGGGTACAATCGAGCGGTAACGGAATCAGTGGTCGCTCTTTCAGCATTTAATAAGCGATTAATGATTATTGTGTGTGTGTGTCTGTAATAGAGTTATTTCTCTCTATTGTAAGCTTAAAGATATTTTTTCAATCACAGACAAAATAAGCACAAATCGCTTACTAAAGCGCTGAATTTCGCTGAACGCAACTAACGATAAGAATTAAGCAAACACGGGACACAGGGATGGCGAGAGAACAGATAGGAATATCGCGACGAAGAACGTTGATCGGGATTTCGGGATTTTGTAGGCCCGTGACGAGAATACACGACATCTCATCCCATGTGCTTCATCAACAAGAAAACTCATCCTCGTGAGCAGTCGCGCACCATTTACTAATGATTGACACATCACCGGTGCCGCTAACCGCCCCTCAACTCTTCTCGCACTCTTAAATTATAAATTATAGGTAAACATACCTCTTTCTGTTCGCGATAAATGACCTTTTGCGATATTACAATAGTCATTTTGTTGTTTTTTTTGTTNTTTTTTTTTTTTTTTTTTTTTAACTCAAACTCAACAGACTGGTGTGTGTTCACAAATCGTCGTGACCTTCTTATTTTTACTCACATACACTCTCTCACGCACAAACACACATGCACACACGCACATTAATTAATTAGCTGTATACACATAGGCTAGACTCGTGTACTTATATTTAAATATATAATCGAGTCGCAATTCTCACACGCAATGTTCTTCTGTGAATTTTTTATCAGGATAAAACATTTAACTTGAGAGATTCTTGTGATACACAGATATACAATATACATATATCAATATATACTTTATATATATATATATATATAGAATTATAAGATATATATTTATATGTATTTCTTATATATATATATATTGAGTTTATCTCGCGAGAGACAAACTCATATACATAACACACGCGCGTGTGTGTGTGTGTGTCCGTGTGTGTCCACACATAAGTTTCGTTTATATAGATTTTTCCTCTTATATTCAACTTTGTTCTGTTTTATTTTTTTATTTTTTTTTTTATCTTTTTCTCATAAAATGCATGACACAAAAATATATAAATGCTTGCATCTGTGAATTATATATATATATATATACTTAGCATCTCTCTATCTCTCTCTCTTTCTCTCTCTCTCTCTCTCTTACACACATCTTCGCAACGTATACATTTAATTAACTGTTTTTATATATAATATATCTTAAATTTCTTTTTACAAAATATCACAAAAATCACGCCTTTGTTTGTTGTAGCAAGAAATCAAGTTTGTCGAAATCTTGTCAGATACACGAATACGCTCGATCTTTCATTCTGCGTGTCTCACCCTCGCGCACTCGAAAACATTAACAACGTAATTATTTATTATTAATGCCTTGTCATGCGCGTGACGCGCGACCGCTACGTGTTCGTGGAAACGTGCGATCATACCGTATGCATATTACTTATCATTTGGCAGTGATTCGCACGATAGCAGTATAAATAACAAAAACACGAAAACTCTCACACGCGGCGAATACTAAGAAAAAAAACTTTAATCATCGGAAATCTCTAAGAGATGTCAATTTCGTTGTTCTTTAAAAAATGTTAATTTATTCCAAAAGTGAAATTAATATTACGTTTGCGAATAAAATAAAATCGCTGTAAGTCCGAATCACACCTGTTCGCAAGTGCAATCGGTCGGAAGTTTAAGATCTGAATAGAATCTGCTGCGGTCGAGTTATCTGCTCTGATCGAGGAATTTCGTTATCTCATCTCTCCTCTTTCCCTTTACGCAGGAAGTATCGAAGATTATTACTCACGCTTCGATCGCGATTATTTATGATAAAAAAAAAAATTATTTCACTCGAATACGGACCAACAGCCTGTATATCGATATGTCATGGCGTATTTTATCTGAGACAATCTCAACGTAAAACATATACAACGGTACAACCGGTCGTGGGCACGTTTCGTAGCGCGTGCACGTAGGAGGGTGTCGCACGTACGCATTACACATACATTCGCACACACAATTACAAATATATCGCCCTAGCACCTAACATCAAAAAAAAAAAAAAAAANTTTTTTTTTTTTTTTTTTTAACTCAAACTCAACAGACTGGTGTGTGTTCACAAATCGTCGTGACCTTCTTATTTTTACTCACATACACTCTCTCACGCACAAACACACATGCACACACGCACATTAATTAATTAGCTGTATACACATAGGCTAGACTCGTGTACTTATATTTAAATATATAATCGAGTCGCAATTCTCACACGCAATGTTCTTCTGTGAATTTTTTATCAGGATAAAACATTTAACTTGAGAGATTCTTGTGATACACAGATATACAATATACATATATCAATATATACTTTATATATATATATATATATAGAATTATAAGATATATATTTATATGTATTTCTTATATATATATATATTGAGTTTATCTCGCGAGAGACAAACTCATATACATAACACACGCGCGTGTGTGTGTGTGTGTCCGTGTGTGTCCACACATAAGTTTCGTTTATATAGATTTTTCCTCTTATATTCAACTTTGTTCTGTTTTATTTTTTTATTTTTTTTTTTATCTTTTTCTCATAAAATGCATGACACAAAAATATATAAATGCTTGCATCTGTGAATTATATATATATATATATACTTAGCATCTCTCTATCTCTCTCTCTTTCTCTCTCTCTCTCTCTCTTACACACATCTTCGCAACGTATACATTTAATTAACTGTTTTTATATATAATATATCTTAAATTTCTTTTTACAAAATATCACAAAAATCACGCCTTTGTTTGTTGTAGCAAGAAATCAAGTTTGTCGAAATCTTGTCAGATACACGAATACGCTCGATCTTTCATTCTGCGTGTCTCACCCTCGCGCACTCGAAAACATTAACAACGTAATTATTTATTATTAATGCCTTGTCATGCGCGTGACGCGCGACCGCTACGTGTTCGTGGAAACGTGCGATCATACCGTATGCATATTACTTATCATTTGGCAGTGATTCGCACGATAGCAGTATAAATAACAAAAACACGAAAACTCTCACACGCGGCGAATACTAAGAAAAAAAACTTTAATCATCGGAAATCTCTAAGAGATGTCAATTTCGTTGTTCTTTAAAAAATGTTAATTTATTCCAAAAGTGAAATTAATATTACGTTTGCGAATAAAATAAAATCGCTGTAAGTCCGAATCACACCTGTTCGCAAGTGCAATCGGTCGGAAGTTTAAGATCTGAATAGAATCTGCTGCGGTCGAGTTATCTGCTCTGATCGAGGAATTTCGTTATCTCATCTCTCCTCTTTCCCTTTACGCAGGAAGTATCGAAGATTATTACTCACGCTTCGATCGCGATTATTTATGATAAAAAAAAAAATTATTTCACTCGAATACGGACCAACAGCCTGTATATCGATATGTCATGGCGTATTTTATCTGAGACAATCTCAACGTAAAACATATACAACGGTACAACCGGTCGTGGGCACGTTTCGTAGCGCGTGCACGTAGGAGGGTGTCGCACGTACGCATTACACATACATTCGCACACACAATTACAAATATATCGCCCTAGCACCTAACATCAAAAAAAAAAAAAAAAAAATTTTTTTCTTTTTATGTATCGAGAAATATAGATTACTTCGTTTCACAGAAATATTCACGCGCGCCGACGGAGCTTTAGCGCTCAGCTCATGTAATTCCGAAGAACAAGAAAAGCGGATTTTTTTTATTTAGACAATATACAAGACAATGTAAAGCGCTTTGTGACCAGCACGATGCGCGCGCCGCGCGTGTCTCCATCGAATGTAGATGATGCGTGTATAGAAGGCGGAGAAAATACATTTATATAACACGCTACTGTCTTTTATAAATACGCATCTTGTTCCAATTGTTCTTATTGCCAGTATTCTTCTAGCGAGGCCTGACACATATACATTATTTATTTATATAAATTATTTATATATTTTATACATTTATACGCGAAAATTTTTAAAAGTTCCAAATAATTTTTTTTTCTTTTTTTTGCTCTCGTTTTTTTTACACACACATTTTTAGTCCGATAATTTTTTTTTTTTTTTTTTTTTTTTTTTTCCACTGAAAAATCTACACATTTCTCGTCAATACCAGGTCATGAATAATATTTTGCACAGTTGCGCTTTTTAGTTTTAGAAAGCTTTCAACAAATTGTTCCGGTTTTTGTCAACGCGCGACTGTTTTCGTCGGTTTTTATACAACAATTTGATATTCTCAAGAAGAAACCTTTTTTTCGGACTGCCAGATAATAAGACGAAAGTTTCTGTATAAAATATTTAGTACACTTTTTTTTAAATATATATATATAAATCGAGCAACAGTTATATTATCAGCATTGTTATGTATTGTGTGGCTTTTATTTTGCGAAGATAAGGTAACGGCAATTACCTCCGATACAAGGATAATTACACCTCTTTATCTCATTGTTTATTAATCTTTCCGTTTGACGGTTTCTGATAAATATTATAATCTAGAAAATTGCACTCGCATGCAAATGGAAGGGAACTTGGCGCCGATGCTCCTGCAACTGCTGCGGAATTCCGTTTGTATCGAAAATTAATTTTTCCTACAATATTGTGTTTTTTATTATTAATATTTGTTAGTATGTCATCCTCTATCTCCCCATACTGTCAGCAATATGGACGCGACATATTATAACAGAATCTCTACGTCACGAGATACAATATTTGTTGTGTGTTGTTTAACGCACAACATTCTTTTTTTTTTTCTCAAATTCCCTGTACTTGTTTCCCTGAATATTTTCGATAAAATACGGCTCGTTGAAACGCGGTTCTAAGTAGATGTTCAAAGTCGCGATTAGCATTCAAAAATATATATATATGTATATATATATATGTATATACGGCGGCATAGAATTATATATCACGCGAATAATTAATTCTTCCTGTGAATTATCCAAGGCAACACGATATACAGTTAGACTTGTTTCATACAAGCTGCGAGAAAATTTGCACCTCATGCTTACATCGATAACAAAAATATTATATATCGTCAACAAAACACTCACCGGACGTTCATTTTCGAAGAGAACGCGTAACGTTCACAAATTGATTTTCTCCCACCGAGTGATGCGCTTAATTTACAATTTCTATTTTTCCCACACGATCAAGCAGGACTGTGTCCACGATCAAAGATAACATTACAAATTGTTACTATTCCAGCCGAGTTATTTTTCTTTTTTATTTTTTTTTTTTTATTTTATTTTTTATTTTATACTCGACGTCATCTTCAAAACCATTCGTTGTTCGTTAATAAGACACTAGGATCGAGAATTTGTCGTTAAGCGATATTCAATTGGTGGGCGAAAGCTGTTTTTTTTTGTTTGTTTTTTTTTTTTTTTTAGCGCGCTCGAATTTATCTCAACAATGTCAACAGGTGATTCGTTTTATAAAGATTACAAATCTTTCCACAATACAAAAAGAAAAAAGAAAGAAAAATCTCTAGAATGACAAAATTTCAATTTGTCATTGTCAGCTAACTATACAACAATCTCGCGCATCGCATGCGCAAAGGACAATAAAAACATTTGCAAGATTTCACAAACAACTTCGTAATTTTCTTTCCTCAGACGTGAAAGGGGATACGCGATGTATCATCGGCAATCATCATTGGCTCTCAAAATTTTTTACAGATCATTTCTTCCATATTATACGGTACCTATATTTTTGTTCTTGTGTTCTGTTAATTCTTTTTTAACAATCGGGAGTGTGTGAATTTGCGCACGTATAATCGTCAACCGCTTTTTTTTGCGGAATAATCACAGCCAACTGTGCATCAGTCACAGCAGACCCATACGTGACAACTCCCTATTCGATTCGTACTGAGAAATGCACTTGGTAGAGATTCCGCAAAAGAGCATTTACCCAGTTTCGTACAATTAATTGCAACTTCTACATTTAGTAGAATAATCTTTTACGCGTCTCATTTGGTCTCATCCTGTTCCATCGGCTCCTCGGAAACCTCTCGGGAATGTTCTGGTGTGGTTCTGTATATGTGTATTAAAAAAAAAAAACAAACAAGAATTTAAACGTGCAATGACAGATGTGTGTGCTTAATATATAAATTATCGATTTTCAATAATATTTAATAATTCCCCGAGGAAAGAGACGACATTAAAAGTGGATTTAATGTACTAACGTGAGGTTTGTAGGCTGCTGCATAGACAGAGAGGCCATTGCGGACACTGTTTCCGTCTCGTCGTGTTCTTTTTGACTCGCTTCTATCGCGCTCATCGCGACCGTATGAGCAGCGAGTTTAACGCAGGGCCAATATAACATCTATAAAAGAAAACCCGATCGTATTGCAAAATACAATATATATATATATTTTTTTTTTTTTTTTACATTTGTTCAAAATACTACAATAGTATTACTTCAAAAAAAATACAAATGCAAAGAAGAATACAGTAATCTGATTATTCGCGATATTTACCTGAATAGCTATAGTCTTCTGTAACGTGTCGATGGCGTTTTGGCATGGAATCCTCGTCAGTTCCTCATCTGGAATCGGGCTGGGCTCGTCACCTAGCAACGCGCGAACGCACTCTTGCGCCGAGTCGCAGATTGCCGGTAAATCGTAACCTCCCTCCAAAGCGAGAACAACTTTTCCGTCGGCCAGATTAAGTAACTGCTGTGTCATTCTGCCGAAGCAGGCCGGATTGACGTTGTAGCCACCCAGCGGTGCCGAATGACCTACCGCAGCGTCGAAACCAGCGGAAACGATCACGATATCCGGATCGAACTCCTTAGCAATTGGCATGACTATCGTACGGAAAGCCGCGAGATACTCCGCGTCGCCCATAGGTGGGTTCAGACCGCCGGACCACGCTACATTCACGTTATAACCAGCACCCTCGCCTTCGCCGCACTCCATCGGCCCGCCTGTCCCGGGAAAGAAATTACCATCCTCGTGTCTGTGTATCGACAGATACAACACCCGCGGATCGTCGTAAAACATTTGCTGAGTGCCATTTCCATGATGAACATCCTGAAAACACGAGAAACAATCCGGACTTAAACGCTTTGTCGCAGAACAAAAAGTTAAAAGTGATTTATAAATCGACGAAATAACATAATAATGACAATTATGAGATGAGCCTTACCCAATCTAAAATTAAAATTTTTCTAACGTCAAATCTTTGTTGAAGTAGCCTTGCCGCAATTGCCACGGAGTTGAAGAAGCAGAAGCCCATGGCCCTGTTTGGTTCAGCGTGATGTCCGGGCGGTCTCACCACGGCGAAGCCGTTCTTAATATCGCCCGTTGCCGTCTTGATCGCAAGATCGATGACGCATCCCGCCGCCATTCGTGCGGCGGGCGCGGTGTTCAGTTCATTCCATGTCGTGTCGTTATCAACGCCAACTCCACCGCAGGGAAGGCGGAAAAAGATGTTGTCTTTCTTGAGTCTTTCAGACAACTGCGACATATCCAGTTTCTGTCGATTCAACGGATTCGTTCCTGTGCACATGTAACACGAAATCAGATTGATGTTCCCGAATTTTCTACCTTTTTTGTTTAGAGTGATAAAACAATTTCAGAAGATTTTATTCTTATTTAAAAAAAAAAAAAAAAAAAAAAAAANGATAAAACAATTTCAGAAGATTTTATTCTTATTTAAAAAAAAAAAAAAAAAAAAAAAAAAAAAAAAAAAAAAAAAAAAAAAAAAAAAAACAAGACTTACCAAATAGAAGCGTATGCTCCTCGCTGTGACACGTTTGGATCTCTTCGAGCGTGGCCTTGCGCGAGCGCACTCGGTCACAACGCTGCAACAGACCCGTCTCGGATAACCTGGCCCACACACTCTGCAATCGACCACCGTGCTCGGGATGACTCCTGACCGAATCACCACAGACACACGCGTGCTTCAACATCAGCGGATCGTAGGCTACTCCAGTAGTAGGTCGGTGGGGAGACCCTCGTGCAAACATTTCGCCACTACTGCCCTGTGGACCTTCAGCAACAAATTCAAATCTTATAGATTAACCTTTAAATACCTTACGGGTCAAAAAGAAACAAACTTTTTTTTTAAATCGCTCGACCTTTCTATGTAGATGGAGGAACGAGTCTGGACCGAGTGGGAGATAGAAGTAGAAGACTTTTGTAGTACATACACGCAGTTTGTTGCCAGTTTTAATCTGTGCGAAAAAACGAGAGCGAAAAAAACAAAATTTTGTTCCTTTTTGACTCTGATAGATCGAAGTCGAAAAAGTGATAGTACTGAAAATAGTTTTTTGGCAAATAAATGTATTAAAAATAGTATTTTGTTTCAAAACACAAGTGTCAAAAACAGTGGAAATAGTTTTTCGTAGTCACTTACAGAGTGTTTCTCATAAAATTTTGCGTTTTAATTTGAAGGAGACTTGAAACAAGTGAAATAAAAGAAAAATAAAGTATTTCTAATTATATCTAGTTGTTTGTGTGCATTTTTACCTTATATTAACAAAACCAGATGATTTTTACATATTTACAGCCGTAATTTTGTTTCTGCATTTGCAAACAAATGCAAACTTCATTGTTTTTTGTAAAAACAATATATTTTTTTGAAATTTCTATTAATCAAAGAAAAATGCAAAAAAATTTTTTTGTTAATCTAAGTAACACAGTCTTCACGATTATTAAACCTTGAAATTTATGTTTAATAACATTTCAATAGTCTTCATTATATCAAAGATATAATGGAGACCTTATATCAAAGATATAAGGTCAAGAAAATCAGTTGTTCCATTTTTTCCTGGTAGAATATTCCGATGTTAAATATACCTGGGTATCTGAGGGTTAAAAAAAACGACATATTATATTTACCCCCAAAAAAAACTAAATTTGATTAAATTCGTAACTTATACATAAAAATTTAAAAATAATTCATTAAAATTACAAACAAAAAATCTACGGATTTCAAATTAAATAACAGTGATGATATTATTTTTGTTTACCTTCTGTATAAAGAGTATTTAAGAATGAGGAAGTGTATGTACAATAAATTAGTTAAAAATCAAATACAAATGCAAATTCATCCAAATGCATCGAGCACAAAACCTTATTTGTTAAAAGGCATGAAATAACTAATGAAAAAAAGCTTTTAGTGCATCTCACTGGCATCTACAGCAAAGCTCAAAGAAATTTGAAATTTTACCTAAGTGTACTAGCGGACTCGACAGCGCTCTCGAGAGCGGTCTGGCAGACTGAGAAGTTCTACTTCCAGCGTAGATGGACGACTCGTTCGTCTGCAACGTGTGTCTCATCATGAGATCCCTCTGCTGCTGCAGGAACTGTTCCCGATCCCTTTGCTGCTTCGTGAGATCGCTCTCCTCCGAATGATCCTTCTTGCCCGTGAGATCTATCACTTCGGATTCCTCGGTCTCCGGTGCCTCGTCCAGTTGATTGGTTTGGCCGCGCGAACCCACTCGCGTCAGCACCGTCTGACGAATTTGCTGTTTCAGATAGTTATGCACCTGTTGCTGATCGTGCAGCTGTTTCTCCGCGAGATATTCCTCATAATGAGTGGGCGCAATTATGCCGCCTTGCAGCATCGGGTGACCTAGCGGCAGTGGCGCGGATTGGGTTCTACCTATGAAAGAGAAGGAAACGACCGTGTGAGCGCTTAAGCTTGGCGCGTCGCGCGACAACAGGGTTACTGAAGAACGCGTGCTGTGTTTCCGTGCATGAATGGTCCCGCGAGAAATCTCAAACAGGCTAAAGTTCTGACTTTCTTCCGGAGTTGCTTTTCTCGACGAAGACCATTGTCCATTGAAACAGGGCACGCGCACACGGTAATGGCTTCTACGAAGACAAAGAGGGAACATACTACCTAAAGGCCGGTGACCAGCCTTATGCAGTCTCGCGTGCGCTACTTGTGTATCTGTAATCGGGGACGCGGTGTGGTACACCGGAGCGGCCGGATGTTGTCTGTTGCCGCCTACCGCTGTGGGCGGCGGCGCCTGCTCCCGCAAGTCCTGCTGTATCTGCTTGTGGATGTACGTCGGTTCGCCCTCGATGACCGTCAGGGATGGATAGAACGGCAAAGTCCCGTGCAGCATCTGACCAGTGAGCGGCATGCCGAGACGCGCTGTAAACGCGGCGCGAACTTCCGCCTCGGAAACCGGCGCTAATTTCGTTCCGCTCTGCGAACAAACAATAGACGCTTAACAGACACGAAACGCAAACTATCGTAAAAACAAAAAAATGCAAACTATACGTTACGTTATATACGTCGCAAAAAAAATTTTACATACATAATAATATTCTACAAAATACCAAATTCCCCCCGATAAAAGCTGCTTACTGAGCTTGACGGTACGTGAGGTCTGCCCAACGAGATGTTGGGCATGGACGGTGAACTGAAGAGCGAAAGATCCGAAAGACTGCCCTGTTGACTACTACTGGTGAGACGTCCTCCGTACGTAGGATTCTCACCTTCCTGCAACAAACGTCCAGGTATGATGTAACATCCTTCCCGACAGACAAACACATAAAGATATTATGAGACAGAGCTGGCGAGCAGCAGCACTTACTTCCTGTATCGCCGTGTTGCTTCCGGCGGTGGGACTGGCTTGCGAATTGTTCACAGTCGGGGGAGAATTAGGCCCGGATTCGGGATTGCTGCCAGAGTCTGAAAAACGTATAATTAATACGCCGAAACCCCGGGATGGGAGGGAGAAGGAGAAGAAGGAACACGTGTCGCCGCGTTGCGCAAACAGAAAAACCCGAACGGGAGATAAAAACGGACTATGATGACGATAGCGCGCGTCCGAAAGTTTCGCGCGCGAAAACGAAGTGACAGACGTAACGCGCGACTTAATGATCAGCGCCAAAAATACCTCGAATCTCACCCGTGTCAATGTAACACGTGTATATAATAAATTTCGTGAAACGAAGACCGCTCTAGGTAGGTACGACCACGCGGTCCAAGGTGCACGGTTTGCGTCCGAAAGTGCGTCTCCTAAAAACGAGAATGTTCTTTTCTCGATTCTTCCTTGAGCCGACACGTGTATCATTTTTTAGACAGCCCCGGTCGCGGCGGCGACTCATTCAAGTTTGCCCGCGTTTACTTGTTTTTAGCGCTAATTTACATGTGTTAATCGGAGAGAAATCACGTTTCGCATGCTGTTACAGGAAAGTGAGTAGCAAACGTCAAAAAAAAACTCAACAAGTCAAAATTAATCGGACACTCGGGGTGCAAATGAGAGTAAAAATAGAGATAAATGTAGATAAAGATGTATATATATATATATATATATATATATATATATATATATATAATAAACTTCGGCGAATGCTCACGCAGAGGAAAGAGATATGAACTTGTGTTTGTTTGGTTTGTTTCTTTTTCATTCTAGGATACTTCAGTAGTAGTCCTCTCGGAGGAAGCTCGTGTGTGTGTGAGAGGAACGTACTTGCTAGTAACGACTTCCGCTTGAGGTGCGACAGCAGGCGATCCTTCCGACGTGCCAGGGGTGAGTTTCTCGACGCCATGTTCCTCTCCACGCGCTGTTTTAGTTTCACCTTCAGGTTCGGCTCCGAGGCTGGCCAATTTTTCAGCCGCTTGTTAGTCGGTCATACAGAAAAAGGGAGGGCGGGGGCGGGGGCGGGGGGAGGAAAACAGAAGGGGGAAACGGATTTAAAGGCACGGGAACGCGAGCGCGAGACGAAACCCCCGACGAACGTCGTCTCGCGCTCGCGTTCGCTCCGATCGATCATTCGCTCGCTCGTATTATTGTCGATATTTAAACTTGGCGCTATCAAGTGAAAAGAAGCTTTCGCGAAACGAAAACGTAGAAAAAGGAATCACAATTTGTGACTAACAAGCCGCAATGTATAAAATTAAAATACGAACCAATGCGGCCAAGTGTGTGTCTCTCAATCGGACGATCATTGATCAGGAAAATTATTGCTCTTTTCAACGAGATAACGAGCGCGCGAAAAAAATCTTCAATACGCCTGCCACGTTTATCGCGCGCGATTTTTTATTATTTTTTTTTATTTTTTTTAGTGATTTAGTATATAATGTGAGTTAAAAGTGTGTTAACCACGTTCAAAAGCGACTTTATACACAATGAAATATTAAACACATTGTGAATTAATGCGTAATACTTCCACAAATTCGCAATATAATAAAGTAAACTTGCAAGCACAGTGGACACGCGCGCCGCATTGGCCAGAAGAGAGCATAATGAAGCAGGCGAGGAGAACGGTCTTGACTTTTGCGAGGTCATACGCAGGCGAATTAAAAACGCCACGTGCACGAAAACAAAAATAAATAAATATTCATGAGATTTCTTATAAATAAAATTATTATTAACAAGTCGGAAGCGAAAAACGCGGCAAACGTATCGATCATCATTTTCTCACCGGCCGATGTTATCGCGGACATATAAAATAATTCGACCGAGCGAATCTCTTGTCTCACGGGGAAAAAAAATAAAAAAAAATAAAAAGAAAAACGTATACGATCTCTTTTACTGTTCGCGGATCAAAGATTGTGATCGCAAAGTGTATGAAAGCAAAAAATACAAAACGCGTCGACGCTTAAAAGCTGCTTGCTTTGGGACTCAACTTGTCTCTCTCTTAGACAGCGATAACACCATGCTTTAGTAAACATTCTGTTTCTGGCACACATAAACTACCTGTATCAAGGTATGCGTATAGATATAAAAACTTGACTCCGGGAGACAATTACCTGTTTTTCTGAGCGGAAAGTCGTCACCAAACTTTTCCTGCAGCAACTGCGGCATTCGGTAGGGGTGCGCCGCGTTCGTAGTGTTCGACGATTCTGTCTGCGACTGTAGCCTGTGAAAGAAAAAAGTTCAAGAAAAAACTTTATGATCTTGTATGAAATCAATCGCACGCTAGAATCGAGTAAATGTCAACGGGAAAAAAAAAAAAAAAAAAAAAAAAAAAAATAAAATTCGAAAATTATTCGATGAATCCAAATGAGTTTCTGTTTTTAGGCTTTTATTAGTATAGTCGCGAGAATTAATTACAAGGATATTTCTGACAATTTCGTATAAAAAAAAGAAAAAAAAATACGTATTTTACATCTCGAGTACGTTTTCGCGACGAAGTTACCGTCGGCGACGGGAGGGACAAGGAAATAACATCGAGAGCACATCGGTCGTTGCTAAATGGATAAGTGGGGCAGGTTGTGCTATTACCGTTACTTCGTCGGCGGCGAAAGAGAAGACTAACGACGACGACGCGATCGCGACGACCCATTAAGACACAACGTGCAAATTTCTCGATTCGGCACGTTCCAAAACCGATCGAACGTATCAAACACGCGAATCTTTAGCTCGAGAATTTATCTTCCAAAAGTAGAACAGAGTTCCTAGCGATCCGTTTCCGATTTTAAATCAAACGACAAATATAAATATTGATGCCCATGTTTAAACTGCAGAACGTGTACATGTAAAAAAGAGATCGCGGAGAGTTCGATCAGTCTTTTTGTTTTTTTGCTTTTTGTTTGTTTGTTTGTTTGTTTTTGTTTTTTTTTGTTTTTTTGTTTTTTTTTTATACAAATTCGAGTATGTTAAATTATTCCTGTACGTACCAGCTTCTATATCCGGGTGTACCAGGTACCGCTCCGTTCGCCGCGGCAGCTGCTTCTCTCTGCCTGTTCACCAGGAAGCTCTGCAAACGTTATAAAAACTTACAGAGACCTCGCGCGAGATCAGAGAGCACACGCTGAAGTTTATGACGCGAGATCTCGGAGGGGGAAAATCGATACTTCGATACTTTGATTGGATTACGCTAGAGAGAGCTCTTTGGAAAATCTGAGAGAAACAGCTCTCGTCTCTGATACACTTTGCTCTTTCGGTTAACGTCGAGAATGTTTTCTTTGACGAATCAAATTGAAGTTGTGTTTATATTTTCTAAAAAATAAAAACTTGAAAATATTGTTGGTTTCGTGATTCGCAAACTTCGAGTTAAATTTCATTCGTTGCTTCGTACATGAGTATATTTTTTCCAAGTCTTTTGTTAATCACGAACGTTTTCGCGAGACGAAAAATCGCGAGACAAAAGTTCGCGATGAAAAATACACACACACACGAAAAAACATTTTGGCGCCAAAATCGATGTCGCTCACCTGAAGACGTTGCTTGACTTCCGTGGACGCGTTCGCGCTGTGATCGTGTTTGTCCTTCTTCCTGAGAGCCTCGAGTCTCTCCTTCTCCCGTTTCTCGTCAGCAAGTTGCTTCTGTTGTTCCCAGAGCTGCAAAAGTAGCAAAATTCTGTTCTACACAAACCTTTTAATTTTTCACCGCACAATCACCGATTTATCTTCTGAATTACAAAGTCATTATTCCGCGATCACGCGCACAGAGAATAATATCATTTGACAATGTTCTAGCCGTGATAACCGGGATTAGTTCGAAATTGAGAGCTTGATTAATTCGCGATCGCAAACACACAGCGTTTGTGTACCAGAAGTTTGCGGTGATTTTGCCGTAAAAGTGCGTTTTAATTAGTTTAATCCGGCACGCGCTTGCGCGCAAATCAATTCGAGAGAAATTGTAATCTTCTCTCTCTCTCTCTCTGTGTGTGCGTGTGTGTGTGTTATGTAAAATGCACTTCCCTCTGCCGTTCTATTATTGGCGGTTTTAGCTCGATTGTGAGATGTCACACAGCTGTTACATCATATTAACGAGTAATTTTCCACATATTATCCGGTGTATGGCTCTCTTCGTACGTCGGATGTATTTTCCAAGTCCAGATATATAGATCCGCGCGAGCATAACAAATTAGAGAAAAAAAAAAAAAAAAAAAAAACTTTCAAACGATAATCCATATCTCGCGCGCTGCGCGCATTCGCGATATTTTTAACTTGACACTTGGCGCCCGCTAAAAACTGAACGTCGATGTGTTCGATACCTCCCGTGCAACCGGAGTCGAGATTCCGAAATCAACAGAATAAAAACAAATCGCGTTCACAATCTATCACTTCTTCTTAATTAAAATACTTAAACGCGCGTCAGTTTCTTTATCGCGCGCGAGATACGAAATCGAATAAGACATCCGTCCGTTCTCCTCTTCGCGACCGTGTGCGAGAATAAAAAGAAGAAAAAAGAGCTGACATCGAGAAAATAATAAAATACAAAAAAACAAGACGATAAATTTTTGTAATATATTTTGCAAGAGCGTGTCTCAGCCGTACACGCGAATATCGCAGAAAATTACGAGCGCGATTGTCTTTAATCGGGCGGTGACAATAAAAAAAAAAAAAAAAAAAAGGCGGACGGAGCTTAATTTAATATCGCACGTGGATGAGAAGCCGGCACAAGCGCACAGCTCGAAAGTCCGAGCATTGCCAACGTCAAGCGAGCGCGGAGCTGATTAATCTAATCGAGCGTTGCGCATAATCTCCCGGCGACGCACGCGATAAACACTCTCTTCTCTCGCGAACATTGTAGCGAATAACACGCCGTGATCGTCATCGCGCGGAATGAAATAACTGCGGATTCGGCCGTGGCGGCGGCCGAAGGCATCGAATTTATTTTATTAATAGCACCCGCGCTCCCGTTCGCAAAAACCGACACGCATATCTCCCGCGGACCGAAGAGCTCGCGTGCGCGCCTTATTGCCTTCATCGTCCTCCGAATCTTCTCTCGCGCGAGCACTCGCCGCGGAAAATGAGAGACGCGCGCGTTCCCGGAGTTCATCGACACCGCGCCACGCGGAGAGAGAGACACGGCGCGGCTCTATTATGTCTGGCATCGTTCTCCGTTCGCGAACGTCGTCTCGTTATTCGCCAATTAATATTCGCCACGCACGTGGAACAGTGTCCGCGTCTTTTAACGAGGCCGCGCGCGTGCATCTCTCCTCTCCTTCCTCCATCGCGCGGAATCGCGGCTCGAGTTTAGATCGAATCGTTTATATAAAACGCGGTTGAAAAGTCATCGCAAAAAGCGCGAATGAATGATTAATGAAGCGATTGTGTGCAAAATTGTAACCGTTTGCACACATTTGTGTGCAAAATTGTAAGGAAGATGTGTCTTCGATCACATCTTCCTCGTGATATTTCGCAATTTCCGCGCCGCGTTTGATTGTCACGTGAATGATTACTTAAATAACGTTAAAGATATACACGTATATATATGTGTATTTTACACACGCACACACACTTTAACTTTATGTTTTATAGATACGTTTTTATTTAAAATGTAGATTCTTCTTCCTTTTTGCCTTTTGTTATCAGCGCTTTAAATGACCGTTTAGATTAGAAACTGTACAATAAAGTTTAAAAAACGACGTTATCGCGATACAATAATGACGCAATAACGTCGTTTTTTTCACATATGCCCGTCACACGTAATTATAACCGCAGCGCTTTAATATCAACGCGATGTGTATCTTTCGATATTCACTTTGTTTTTTTAATTACCGATTGTAATTTATCGCCGAAGCGTCTCTTGTGGTAAAAAAATCACCTGTGAAATTCGAAATAACGTATTGTTTATTTTGTCTTCGGTCACCGAGACCCGATGGCGTCACAACGCGGCCGAAGGACATCGTGACAGCTATTAAAACACAGCTGACTAATAATAAACCAAATCAGTACGGAAGGGAGAGACTCTTTCCGTTATTCGAAACGTGCGCGCGCGCAATTCACCTGCGAGAAACGGAAACACCTGTGCGCGCACCTGTTAACACCCTCTTCGCCCGAATAAGCGAACAAGCGAAAGTGATCTCGGGCACGCGCTACAAGTGCACATCGTGTGTATATATTTACGTATCTCCGCCGTAAATAGCGTACAGAAAATCGTCGCACAAAAGAGAAAAAGAGAAAGAGATCTGAACGTCGAAGGTCCGAAGTGAAACGCGAATGAATGGAAAACTCAACTTGCAACGGAATTTTCTACCTGAGAGTTTCGTCGATCGCTTGAAAAGAGAGCAAAGAATACTCCTTTTTCCCGAAAGAAAAGTCAAAATGATTTCCGTTCTATTGTTAATATAATAACAGCGTTTCTCCGATCGCCATAGATTGTATCGTCCCCTGAAACGATCCACAAAGCGACCATTAACTTGACAAATCGACCGATCGTTTGATTTATTGAATTCCTTTCACGGGCCGCGTTCGAAAAATTCCAATTCGCGTGTGAAAACTGACTCGACAGTCGTTAAAATCTCAAATGGTCGCGAGTTGAGAGTTCTCTGTTTGAAAGACGGCGACACACTCCGTGTTTTCCCGCAATTACGCATCGCGGAGAGACGGACGCGAGAAGAAGAAGAGCTTTGCCTCGACGCGGGATTTCGCGCGACGGCGGCGGCGGCGGCGGTCAGTTTATTTTCACGATCAACCGTTATTGTTATTATCGCCTCCGTGACGCATGTTACGCGCATCGCCAACAATGAGAGGAATATTCCGCTGGACTTTCGACTAGCATTAGAGAGACGGAGAGAACAACGGAGAGACGGAGACGCGAGACGACGTTCCCGGAGAGAGAATTGCCGCGAGATCGTACGAACGCATGCGAACAACGAGAGACGAGCAACACACGTCGGTGTAAAAAGCGAAGAAGGATCCTCTCTCTATTACGAACGGATAATGCGCCGGCTGCAGTTTTGCCGCGTATCACAGAGAATGTTGTCGTCGTCGTCGTCGTCGTCGTCGTTCAGCAAGATATCGATTGTTCTCAAGTTCATTTGCGCGACAAAACCGCGAACGGCACGAGAGAGAGAGAGAGAGAAAGAGAGAGAGAAATCGACGAAACGACGATCAGAGAGAAGGTATTTCTGGACGATGTTACGTATCGTTTACACGACATTTACAGCGGAGCTACGTAATGTTATATTTCTCGGAAACAATTCGGTTGTGTATTTGATAAATACTTAATTGTTTGTCAATTAATTGTTCAGCCGCGTGCGCGCAAGCATTTGTGGAGTATATTTTGTCAATAGCAGCAGAGCCGCGCGGTAGCGGATACCGCGCAGTTTATATTAATGTTTAATAGATACGAGAGAAAGAGAGAGAGAGAGAGAATAATTACACGAGAGTAAAACGACGCGACGTAAAATAGCGGTTTTTGCGAACGTGCATTATTCAGCGCGTAATTGCACGTGTACAATTACCAAACGAGAGACCGCGAGATAATTAATTATTTAATTTATTTATTTAATGAAATTGGCAAATACAGCTCTCTTTACCCTTAGTCGAGTCAACTGTTGCTCGTGCATCTCGGCCAGTTGACGTTCCTGAGCCTGATACTGCTGGCGCAGGATCTGCTGTTGAAGTTGATGCTGCTGCTGTAGCTGGAAGCAAATCCAGATATCTCAAGGCTAATGCAATGTGTTCGTCTAAAGGAATGAGATTGTTGGAAAAATTGTTGGTTACGGGAAAGAGGTGGGTGCGCAAGTAAATCCTCGTGGAGAGAAAATAAAATTGCGACACGTCCTGTGTGCAAACACGACACAGTCGCGCGAAGCTTTGCGCGTATCGCACGCGTAATACCGTCGATCCCCATATAAATGCGGAACGTTTCACGGGGATTGATGTGTGTGTGTGTGTGTATATTTTGTCTTTCGCGAAGCGCTCTCACCGCGAAGTCGTCACAAACACTTCTAAATCGTGATAGAAATTCATCATATCATTATACATATATATTTGACGCAAGAAACACGCAAGTTTTCACGTCGATCGAAAATAAAAACTTTAAACACTTAAATAACCACACGACAATCATACGTGCGCTCTTCTGATTTAATTAGACGGAAAGTTTGCGTGCGATTTAAGAAAAAAAAAGAATGCAAAAACACGTAACGAGGAAAAAACAATACAAAAATTTATGTTCAAATTGTTTTCGATAGAACCTGTCGAGTAACAAAAAAACGCAGAGCAAAATAAATATCGGACTTAAAATGCAAAAATACGCATAGCGCGCGCTTCGTGTGTCTGCGACGCGACGCGACGTGCTGGTGCCAGTGCAAAGTTCCATGCCAACATGGCGCGCATCCGACCTGTTTAATTCAATTTGCCGTGTCTGTCGAATGTTTTTTCGTTGCCGCGTGTCATTCGTCGCGTGTGGGCGATTTCGAGTCGTCTTTTCTCAGAAGGAAGTGCGTGGGTTGCTGACACACAGAGAACGAAGCGATTTCGTCCAATTGGTTACGTCCGCGAACGAACGTTGTCACACGACTCCCCATGCATGTGTTGCACTTCGTAAGCACGCTTAAAAAAAAAAAAAAAAAAAATATATATATATCGAAATCGCACCGCACCGCTCGACATGTATTTGCACGCCGCACTTGATTCCCCTCTAAGGTAGCGTTTTTTTAAAACTATTTTTTTTTTTATTTGTTCTCTTTAAGGCAAAAGAGTCTGATTTATATATTTTCTATTTTATAATTATATCGAATTTGTTTTATTTCTAAGTGCACAAGGAGTCTTCGCACGCATAAGTTTATGTTGCGAAAAAAAAAAAAACAATTAAATATTGCAGAAATATTCAACGAACTCGAAAGTAATTATTAACTTGTGTGTGTGTTCCTTAATAAAATACAAATTCAATTGGTATCGTTACTTCACGATGTATCGATTTAAATTTAGATCACCGTGACCGACAGTTGAGTATCGTTTTGTCATTGTCCACGCTTGTCACACATATTGGTTGTTTCAAATATCAATCTATTAACCTAGACCACGTTGCGAGAAACCATCGAATCTGAAATTTTTCAAATGAATTGGCTTCGCGCGAAATATTCGCCAACAAAGATACCGGCAAATCGCGTGCGAAAGTACTGAAATTGAAATCGATTCGGAATAATGAATTTTACGGAGCATTACAGAGCGAGAACCCTCGCGTTCGTCGTGCCCTCGAGCGAGGGTTCGGCCTCGGGATGGAAAGGATACGCTATTCGCGCTACGGCGCTCGCGGTTGGATTCGGCCTCTACATATTGCTCGTTAAACGGAAGGACTGGTCCGACAGAATTTGGAGCGTATTTAGACGTCGAGACGCCTCGATCGAGCCGCGCGATAATTCGACTAACGAAGTAAAGGAAGTCAAGTACGACGTCATCGTGAAAAAAACGAACGACTCATCGCTTTTTTCTTCAAGTTTAAATTTCAAATCGACACGCCCGACCGATCGGGTGATCTAACGATCTTACTGACTCGCTCTATTGCGCATGTTGAGTTTTCCTGGCTGACACGCGCGATCGGCGTTAAGTTAAATCGAATGAGAAATGAGGCTCCGCGATACACGTGTCGCGCGTTAATATATACATTTTGTGCTCGTGTACACAAACAAAGTTCACATTACAAAAAAAAAAAAAAAAAATCATTTAAACACCGGAGATATATTCAACGAACCAAAATCAATTAAAATTAATTATATTGTGTTTTTTTCCTCAATTAGCAGCAGCAACAACAACAGATCCGTAATAACGTATAACGGCGAGGTGTGTCCGATCTGCCTGGGAACGCCGAAAATCGGCGTTAAGGCTCCTTGCGGTCATTTGCTGTGCGCGGAATGTTTGGCGAGTTACTGCGACGTTAGACTTGCACCTGCGCCACCACCTTGTCCATTATGCAGAGCGCCACTGAATTCAGTGGCCTTGGCCTGCGATTTTGTTAGTACAACACACCGGCTCTGTTACATATCGTTTTCTACTTCCGTCCACACATAAACAGCGAGAGAGAACAAACGCATTTTCCGCGAGTTAAACGCGACATTATGCAAACATAAGAGGCAAAAAAAGAAAATCGAAAACGAACCAACAGTCGGGAACAACAGCACGAAGAAAACGCAAAATTACATTCTCGAGTAGTTTTTGAAAACATATCAGGCTTGATTTTTTATTGTTTTTGTTGTGCGTTTTGTTCCTCTCAGCACACTAAACCTGCGATTTTATTTAAATAAAAATTGACGGGGCGGAGGTTTTTAACAGATTTTGCAAAATATAATGAGATAGAATTTTTTTTGCGCACAGGCTATTTTAGGTCCCAAGATGCTGGATCCGAACACGATCATGGTGCAGAATTGGATACGCGAGTACAACAATCAAGGTGGCCTTATGACGTCGGTACGACCGTTTCTGATGACGCGAATCACTCTTTTGTTCAACATCTTGACGCTCTTTCTGATTCTCGGACTGATCGCCGTGAGACTCCAGATTTTAACCGAGAATTTCACTTGAAAATTGTCTCATTTATTATTGTATCAAATGACCTGTGAAAAATTTGTCACATTAAACAAATTTGAAAAAAAAAACCTAAAATGTAACTCACATGTACGTATTTGTATACAATATACGTGATAAATATTACAATCCGCAACTCAACTGCGCGCAAAATGCCTTCTTGGGAAAATTGAACGTGTTTGTATTATTGTATCGATATCGTATTACCTAATCATATATGCTTCTAGTTGACCTCAAGAGTCAAGGCTGGAATAAATCTAAATGAGTCTAAATTTGCCGGTAACGCACTGCGATCGTCTATTAGTTTGCAACTCTTGAGAGCACAAAAACGTCGATCGTTCAGAGACGTCATTACACACACACAAAAAAAAAAAAAAAAAAAACAACAACACATATCGCGTTATCGACGAGATATTCATACAAAGCGTGTTTTTTTTTCGCAAAAATTACGAAACTGCAAATCGATCGCAGCGCGTTCCGATCGCTATTTTTCTTTACCGGTTTTGCTCGCTTTTTTTTTTCTTCTTTTAAATACAACATGTAAATGTGTATACAAATAAAATGACATTTTTTCAACATAACTTTTTACATGTTATCCGCAAATGTTGAGAGAAGTTCAAAAAGAAATTCAACCGCACTTTTAAGGTGTTCAATTCTCTTCTTTCCCCTTCCCCCCCCCCTCGTGTTAATAGCTTGCAAATATCTCTTATTATCGCGCGATATATTATGCTTTCAACGCGCATTAAAGTCGAGGAGACATCCTTAATATTCAAAACGCGGTGGCGCGATAAAGAAACTAATCATAGATCAGTCTCGCTTACATAAATACAATAAATAATGATTTTTTTTTTTTTTCATTGTGTAACAATAATTTAAATTTTTGACAATACTGCGAAATCTTTGCCGTGTGTGCGTTAGTTCTTCTTTTATACGTTATGTCCAAAAATAAACCCGCAGGTTATAACCTCGGACCTTAAGAACAACGAAATTTCCATAACAATGCGTCTTTTTTTTTTTCACGCGGTATGTGCCACATAAGAACATAACGTCGCGCATATTGCAATCGATTCTCGAATTAATTCGAGTCCGAATCGCGTCGAGGAACGCGCGAGCGTTCCGAACAATCGTCTCTCCGTATCGAATGTTGCGCGCGGCGCCGATTCGAAAGAGAACAAACGGCGCTTAATTGACTTAACGTCGCGCATCGTTCAATAATAGTATCTGCTAGTATTCCGTTCGTCGCGGAAATATTTGCAACAGCGAGCGCTTCGCCTAGAAAAAAAAAAAA